CCTCAGAAAAAGCATAAATAAATTTGAAAGAGATAGGGAGCCAAATTGTTAAAGAAAAGTAGGTTAGAACTTAGAATAATGGGCAATCTTTGTTGACGGTTGACCCAAGCCGGCATTCATGATTCACACCGTCAACATTTTAATTTTTCAACCCCACGCGGATATTAAGTACTACAACTACTAATACTAATGTACTTTTTTCAAAATTTCCCTCTTTACTTTTTTTATTTTTTTAATTTCAAAATACTTACTTTGCACTATTCTATTACTTTTCAAGTATAAGTTGTAATCTATAGACTATTCAAACTATATTGACTTGCTACGTACAATTATGTTGAATATATTCGAGTATGGATGACTAGCCTGTTTGACCAACGAGCTAGATTCAACAGTATCTTAATTTAAGAAACCAAAAAATTAAAATTTAATCTGATATAATTTGTTTAAATATTATTCACCAAACATACCTTTCATGTTTTTGTTAAATCTTATACGGAATAAATTAATATCGTGGTTGATTCTATGTCTTGTTGCTAGATATTTCACTCGTGCACGTCATTGTTTCTTGGACCACTAGTTAGTCCCAGGCATAGTTCAAAAAAGTCAACTATTTGATATTTTAGTTGTGAAAACTTTTGAATAAGAATCCTAAAGTTTGCAAATTCCATCTGCATACCGTTGACTTTAAATGATTCAATTAGAATGAACCGAATTAGAAGTACGAGAGTTAAATGAACCGAGCAATCCACCAAGCGAGTCAGTTCACGCTAGCCTCCGGGACGAGCCTAGCACGAGCTGGTTTGTTCAACCAAATGTGGATTCGACTTGCTCTTCGATAGGTGAGCTGCTTGTGGCTCGTTNAGAAGAAAAAGTTATTTATGTGATGGAAAGTATTATTTTATTGAAAAATGTGTGGTTGAAAATGAAAATTGATTTGATAATTGATTTTGAAAATCACAACCAAACAGGCTCTTAGTTGTGAAAACTTTTGAATAAGAATCCTAAAGTTGTTTGCAAATTTCATCTGCATACCGTTGACTTTAAATGATTCAATTAGAATGAACCAACTAAAAGAAATTCATTTACATGTAGATACAACTTTACTGAATTAGAAGTACGAGACTTAAATGAACCGAGCAATCCACCAAGCGTGACTTTAAATGATTCAATTAGAATGAACCAACTAAAAGAAATTCATTTACATGTAGATACAACTTTACTGAATTAGAAGTACGAGACTTAAATGAACCGAGCAATCCACCAAGCGAGTCAGTTCACGCTAGCCTGCGGGACGAGCCTAGCACGAGCTGGTTTGTTCAACCAAATGTGGATTCGACTTGCTCTTCAATAGGTGAGCTGCTTGTGGCTCGTTATTATTTTAACTAAAAAATATACTTTCACTCCCTGTAATGAAGACATGCATTGTAAGGAACTGGTAAACATAAAAAATATCTTTTTAGTTAAAAGAGAAATATAAAATTGTAAAAATCATCTTCCTTTATTCAGGATTGTGATCAACTACACTATGTAGACAAAGTTAACACTGTATATTAATGAATATTTTATCTACAAAGCTTTAAAAAAAAAAAAAAAGAAACGAAATGTATAATTGCTGAAAGGACCATGCTACACTCACAAAATGTTTTACAAAATGTTTTACCGACTTGCCACTTGGCGTCCCATCATTGCAGGCGCCCCTCCAATGATGGGAAGCTTAGTGGCGAGTCGATAAAACATTTTGTAAAACATTTGGTACATCTAGATTTATCCTTGCTGAAATTCTTTAGTAATTTCACTACCATCTTGTCTTGTATTTAGTTGCTGCTTCTTGTCAGTCTTCCAAGTACATTAGAGTCTCAAATATATCTTTTTCAGCATACTTCTTTTATCTGATACAACTTTACCACCTGCACTAAATGCATTCTTCTTGACACGAGAGATAAAATCACGTGTCATCGAATTGATCGAAGATAATATCGAATATTTTTTTATTTGTTCACCGCCATCCAAGAAGATCAAACTATTTATTTTATCTGACACAACTCTACCACCTGCAATAAATGCATTCTTCTTGACACTAGAAACAAAATCACTTGTCATCAACGATAATATCTAATATTTTTTTTTTTTGTTCACCACCATCCAAGAAGATCAAACTAAGAACATGGTATGGAACTACCTATCTAACCCTACATGGATTTCATTTTTGTTTAGTATGGGTTAGCACTATAAGAAAAATAGAAAAATGATGAACTTTCTGCATTAATTGTACTTAATAATTTCATACATAGCCATCAATGAATAATGAAATTGTAAAAGGCGGTCATGGTTGATCGTTATTTCTTTATTTTAACACTTTATAATATAGCGTAGTAGTAAATTAGTGTGGCATAAATCGATTTCGTAAAATATTTAGTGCAACGTTACTATTAGTTAATTATTTTTTTTATCAATTTAAAAAATAGTACTATGTCGAAATTGTAAATTTTAAAATTACATTATAGTTTACCAACTTCAAATTAAGCCACAGTTTGTCCCAATTTGTTTTAAAATTATTAATTTTTTTCAGACATATTTCAATCACAAAATATCCAAATAAAATTATTTTTCACTTGAACTCGTAACTTTTTCCTACTTTCTAATTCTATAGTCTCCACAAAATCAATTCTACAAAATTTATTTTGAAAAAAATCTACACTAAACAAATCATAATTTTGAGTGATGAGATCTGCTTGGGAGTTTCGGGGTACCAAGTATGACGTTTTTTGAAGTATCGATTATGAGTATTTGTGAGCGATCGATTTTAAGTGGTTTCAGTAGTGACAAAACAGTACAACACATGCTTTTGAGTTTATTATCTACCGATTTTGAAATCTTTTAAAAGAATATTTTTAGTAAAATTTTCAATTTATAATTTCTTTTATGAATTTTTTTACCAATAAGTGATATTTTACTTGTATGTAATTTTTTTACATATAAGTTAATATTTATCTTAAAAAGTTAAACAAAGTTAGATATTCACCTAAAGTTTTAAGTTAACATTTTGTACTTCTAGGTAAATTTTACAATTAGGAGTTAATTATGTACTTTTATTGTAAAGTTAATTTTTTTTAACTTTTTATATATTTTGTAAGTGATTTTTTGTCGTTATTTTTATTTTATAAATAATTTTTTACACAAAAAGCGATTTTTATCTTATAAGTAATATTTTACTTATAAATAATTTTTTAATTATATTATAATTTTTTGAATATAAATAATTTTATAATCAATATATTTTTTACTTCTGCGTTAGTTTGAACGAAATATATTGATTGTATAAAATTAAGGGGGTGTTTGTTTGAGATTTTTAAAGGAAGAATTTATTTTTGAATAGAGATATGATGAGA